ATCATTTATTACACAAAGAAGCTGATCTCTCTTTCAGAGAGAAACCACAATCCCTTCTACCTAATGCACAAAGAATCAAGCACAGGAAACACGAAGATTTAACTGAGCAACTGTCACTGAAGAAAACTATGGTTCTTTGCCACTATTTTTCACAAACTAAATGTGGCCTCCGACAACATTTCTCCCCGTAAAGCAACTAGATACTTAGCACTTCAACTTTTACTAAGTCCACATGAACTGGCTGGACTTCCAGTAAATCAAAACTAGAAGGAGATCTTTCTCTCATCCTTGTGATGTGTGATATTTCATATATTATCCACCACAAAGTCTGCTAATCAGCCATCAACTGGACAAAAGGAGCAAAGCATTCCAATCAATCAACTCTCAGTCTACCAGTCCACCCACAACACTCAAGGCTTCATACCGGCTACACAGGGCAATTCACTGAATGAGACCGTTGCCTTTTATTTCCTTTACTGGCAAGCTCTTGTCCACAAGAGCATTCCAAAATATGTCACATTCCCCAGTGCGTGTGTGTGTTAAGAAAAAAATAACTGCAGGCACTTAGCCCCAATTACGTATTCCAATAAGCAAGCACTTGCTGCTCCAATCACTGCTCCCCTCTATCGCTGTATGCCAAAAGGGTAGGAATGTCTCTGAAATGGAAACAAATGTCTCTAGAGATTTCTCATGCTACACTAACCTAACTTTTGAAAAGGGAAGGAAATGCTCCCTCCCAGAGCATGATCCTCCTGCATATTCCACCCATTCTCTGACTCTTTGCTGAGCTCAAAGCAGCGGTGTTTGAAGAGTCCTAAAAGTCAACAGGCGTACAGAAGAAAAATTGCAGCCAATGAAAATCCCAAGGAAAATACCTGACCACACACCAAGCCCATTTTCCTCTCCACTCTCCTCCATGTTTTCACAGATGTCTGCTTGAAGAGGGAGCTCTCATTCTCATATCGAGTATACTGTGTCTTCTGTCAACTTTTCATTTGATTATAGCATGTCTCAAGGACATTCCTACATCCCAGGAGGTGGTACTTGCAATACTCGTGGTCAACAGTTCCAAAGAGGAGTGCCTAAAGTTAAATATAGTCTTAGGAAAGTAACTTTAGTGCTCCTTTTTTAAATATCTTGACCTCTCCAATCACAGACACCTTCGTGTTCTTAGGTAGCACCTGCACCACATATAATGAAATGCAAAACAGTAGTCTGATGTAATGTTAGCAGGTAGAGTTAAAACAGCCAGGAAAGGCTAATAAAGGTTCACTGAGCAACTTAACACAGCAGCATTATATATATATATTTTCTATTTCTGGTTAACTGCATATTATTGTGTCTAAAATGTGCAGCATAAGATACAGATGCATTGACACCAAACTAATGTTTCTGTAGGAACCCCAACTTTTCAATTTTCTGACTTAGTTTTGGCTGTGCACTCTCAGTGTTTTATTAGTCTACTGTGTTTTGCAGGCCTGCCAAGTGTCATGCGTCTCACACAACACTCACACCTGCAGGCTGACATGCATTGCCATGGCCCAGACTGAATATTCTGCATCCAGCTGGGCTGCAGGAACATCCGGCAACTGTGGTTCGGTCACCCGAGTCCACTGTGGCACCTGGGGGGAGCATGCAGCCAAGCGGCTTCTGTCTGCTGCTCCCCCTGCTGGACCTGGAAACAGCAACCAGGAGGAGCAGGCAGTGACAGCTACCACAGGAAGGAGGCAGCAGGGACAGGTGTGTGGGTTGGGGGTGGGGTGGGACCAGATTCCCACACCCAGCATCAACCACCAAACAGGTCTCAGTTGCCCCCAGTCCTTAGACACCCACTAGGTTTCACAACGTGCCCTATGGCTTCTATCCCCAGACACTCACAAATCCAGTTTCCTTCCCAGCTATCCCCAGACACTCCCACAATGCAGCTTCCCTCAAACCCCAGTTCCACACACACAAATTCAAGTTTCCTTATGCCCAGCTTTCTGCAGCCAACTCCATCAGTCCCCCAGGCATCACCAACCTCCACCCAGCCAAATTAAGCCTTCCTCCCAGCCCTCACTTTGTATTTTATTTGTTTGGGTTTTTTATAAATAAAAATTGTCTCTAGTGATGTTGACCACCAACTGATCCCAGTCACCATTTGAAATACACACCTCCTTGAGGTAATTAGGGTGTGTGATAGAGTGGAATATCTTTTTATTGCTGCTTTTGTTTTTTTACAAGGCTGGGTTATAAAAACAGAATAACCACGTACATAAATAGATTGGATGTTTGCTGCAAGAGAAAACTTTTCAGAGTTTAATTTGCAGAATGTAACCAGAATTGTGGAAGTCTCTTATAATTGTGGGAACTACAATTTCTCCCAGTTCCCCACAATCTCCTCCAGTTCCTGATGTTAAAGTAGGAATTTGAAGGGTTTTGTTCTGTGTGGTTAACTGAAATAGTGATGATCACCCTCATGCAAACTGTCACACTAGAAACCTGACAACACACTTTAAAGTCACAAAAGGTACAGAGCTTGTTGGGGTGTCTGCTAAAATGTTAGATTACTGGGCACACTTGGTGATTTCACTCCTATATTCATTTATTTTCCCCTAAACCAAGCAAAGACGGTAGCACTTCAAGAACTCGTCGCTGTCACCTGCCAAACCTCAGTCGTTTTTGGTGTGACCCTGCTGAGAAAAAAAAAGGGGGGGGGGGAATATTTTTTTCCTACACAAACTAGAAGACAAATAAAGGGATCTTGCTCAAACATTCAAATATAGCATGTCTATACCTTTGGGCACAAACCAAGCATAGAAATATCAGCCCAGAAAGTTTGGAGAGTTGTGAGCAAGTGAAAAGAGGCTATTAGAATGGAAATGCACTTTCAGCCTGACTACCAGAAGCCTAGACATCTGCTAGAATATATTCATACAAAACTTACAAGATACTGATGAAAAACTTGTGCATTTCTCAAGTAGTGTGGCAGACTCATTTCAGGAAGGGGGTATACAAGAAGCAAAAGAAGGGGTCAGAGTTAATAGGGAAAACTGCCAATCTCCCTCACACACACTGCAAACATTCTGCCTCTCTTCAAGTAAAGCAGCAGGCGGTTACTTGAAAGCTCACCATTGCTCACAATTTGGCCCCTAGTGAAAGTGGCCATGAGAGCATCTCACATGTACAGGGCAGCAGCCCGCCAACCCAATCTTCTCTGTTCAACTTAAGGGAATACTAATGGGTGCCCCTCAACCATGTAGCCTTTGAGTGAGTACAGAGTCAGCAACACACATGTAAGACAAAGTAAGGAAAAGGAAGGATACACAGAAGAGACAAGACCAGTAGGGAAAAGAACCAGAAAAGGAAACATGAAAAAAATGGACAGAAAAGAGTAAAGGGAGCAGTAACTATCTGCTAATCTACCCCAAGGTGGGGAGTGCCAAATAAAGTTGGGACACCTGTTTACTCTGCACACGGAGCCAGAGTTCTTTTTACTGAGTGAACTGCAATAAAAATGAAAAGCAGGCAACCACACCAGGGAATGGAAAGGACCTCGAAACTAGGGAATTGTGCTGTCCAGCAGGGCTGGGGAGTTCAACCTCCAGATTCTATGCCCCTCATTTCCTGGAGTCCCTTAACCTTGTAGTTTGTCCTATTCTCATGGACCGTAGAAGGTTGGGGTTGAACACACTCAGACATCTCAAGGGTACTGGGGTAAGAGAGCATAGACATTGACATGAGTCTGGGGAGCATGGCTCAGCAGTGGGCGTTCTCCAGTGACTCCCCTCCCAGTGTTGCTGCCTGGCACAGTTCCCTGAATGCCTAGTTCACAGCCTTCCATCCATCAACTTGTCTGCCCATTGTACACATCCAGTTTGTGTCAATTTTATCATAAAAAGCCAGGCTGAGGATTTGTCTCTAGCAACAAGAAAACATGACTTGATATGAATTTAGAAAGCTTACTTTTATGTTTTTTTCTTCTGTTATGATCATAAAAACCCTGACAACAGAAGTTTATCCTGGCTGGGGGAGCATGAAGGAGATGTCAGGGCTAAACAATGGGACCAGTGAGACAAAGTAAGTACGGTGCGCTGCTGCCCAGCTAAGCTCCCACCCGCACCCTTTCTCCATCATCCCACCCACCTCAAAGCCCCACTTCACACAGCTTAAGCTGTTCTCATGCCCCATCCCAGTTCACTTTTGAACAATCAATACCCACACAAGTAAATAAGTAGTAACAAGAATAGGAAGATGCTGGTAAGTACTATTAAAAATTGAGGAATTTGCAAACAGAAGCTTAATCAACAAATGCAGTCCCCAAAGCCAGGATGTCACCAGCCAAACCAAGCCTCCCTTGCCCGTTTATGTCAATTCATGTGCCTTATCACCTAACCATCAAGAAATGCCCTTTCCAGTCCACCCAAAAGGCACTCACCCAGTCCCTCCAGAGACACAACCCTAACCCTATGCCTCCCTCCCACACACACTCCCTCCAGGTACAGACCTCACAGGTACACGTCTAGGGAACACAGCTGGGGCTCAGGCTGCCATCTGGGTACAGAGGTGAGGCAGGACATGTGCATGGGGGCGGACATACCCGAGAGCAGCCCTAGGGCTGAGGGGTCTGTGAGGGAACAAGCCAGGCTGCGGAGGAGGGGGGCACTGCCTGCCCTCAGGAGTGGTCCCCACCTCAATGCTGGCTAACGGAACGCCCGGGCCTGAATCCGAGCCCTGAGCTCGGCCCCACCCCCTGAACAGAGACAGGCTCTCCCCACCCGACCCACAGCAGGTAGGGAAGGGGGCTCCGCGGGGAGGAAGAACCGGGGGCAGGGGGTTGCGAAGGGATGCCCCGCTTGGCCCGGCGTGGGCGGGAAGTCCGGAGGCTCGGCCCGGCCTGGGGGCGGGGATGGGACCCGGACCGCCAGGGGGGTTGCATGCAGCCCGCCGCAAGCCGGGGGCTGCCCCAGTGAAGGCCTAACCCGGGAGGGTGGGGGGCGCTGGCTCGGCCCGGGGCTAACCTGGGGACGCAGCTGGGGCTGGAGCCGTCGATCTCCCAGGTGGCGAATAGGTTCATGGGCACTGGGCGGCTCAACACCCCGGCGCCGCCCGGGAAGCTCAGGCGGCCCCGCTCCGCCGCCATCGCCGCAGCCGCCTCGCTCCCGCAGCGGAGCCGGTAGCCGCCTGCAGCGAGAGAGACGCACACTCCGGACGGTCACTGCGCCGCGCCTACCGCGGCCGGCCAGGGTCACATGGAGGGGGCGGGGCCAGAGTGCTGCGTGGGGGAGGAGCGTGGTGAAGGGTGGGGCCTAGGTAGAGAAGGGGAGGGGTTTAGGGAAGGGCGGAGCGCGCCGTGAGAAAAGGTGCGCTGGAGGGGCGGCGCGGGACTCGGCGCCTAGAGAAAGAAGGGGCTTAGTCTGTGTCCAGGGGTTATAGCTGGTCCTCCACCGTTACCAGAGAAGATAAGGATGTGTTGTAGCAGGGAGCTTAATAATGGTAGAAGCTTCCTGTTTGAGTTCGCTAGTTACTATTTAAAGAAGAGGGGGGAGAGGGGGAGGAGTTTGGGGAAGGGAGAGACAGACGGACAAAAGTCTGTGGTTTCAGAGTAGCAGCCGTCTTAGTCTGTATCCGCAAAAAGAACAAGAGTACTTGTGGCACCTTAGAGACTAACAAATTTATTAGAGCATAAGCTTTCGTGGGCTACAACCCACTTCTTCGGATGCATATCAAGTCTGCAGGGAGGCGCTTAGGAAGAAAAAGGATAGGAGTCAGCAGAAGGAAAGTGGAAGAGCTTGGGGACAGGCAGGTGTTTGGAGAGTTGAAGGGGAAGATCTTAGGGATAAGAGAGGGGGAGCATGGACAGGGGTCGGCAGGGCAAAAGTCTGGGAGACGTGGGGAGCTTGGAGAAGGAAGCGGCACGAACCTGCATGAGGAAAAGACGGGGGAGATGAGAGGAAGTTTGGGGAAAGAATGGGGAACCATAGGGAGAAGGAATCCTTAAATGTGTGGAAGAACCTGGGATGTGGGAGGAACCAGCGGAGGAGAGGAGCCTGAAAAGAGAGAGGTGGCAACATCTATATCGGAAAGGAGGGGCAGAGCCCAGAGGAAGGAGTCTGGGTGGGGGTGGATAAAGTTGAGGCATTAGAGAGGGGGGAGCTTATAGGGTTTAGGGAGAGAAACCTGGCAAGCAGGATTTAGCAGTTTGAGAACTACTCTTCCTAGGATTGCCAACTGTCTAATTGTGCAAACCCAAAGACCACTGTCACGCCCATTCTCTGAGGCCCCACCCCAGCTCACTCCATCCCCCTCCCTCGTTGGCTCTCCCCCACCCTCACTCACTTTCACCAGGCGGGGGGGAAGGGTTGGGGTGCTGGGGGGGGAGGTGGGGTTGGGGTGCTGGGGGGAGTTTGGGGCCCGGGTAGGGGTGTGGGCTCTGGGAGGGAGTTTGGGTGAGGGGTGTGGGCTCTGGGAGGGGGCTGGGGCAGGAGGGTTGGGTGCAGGAGTGGGTGTGGGGGTGCAGCCTCTGGGAGGGAGTTTGGGTGCAGGAGGGGATGCGGGCTTCAGGAGGAAGTTTGGGTGTGGAGGGAGTTCAGGCTCTGGGAGGGAGTTGGGGTGCGGGTGCAGGCTCTGGGAGGGAGTTTGGGTGCAGACTCTGGGAGGTGGCTGGAGCAGGGGGTTGGGATGCAGGAGGGGGTGTGGGCTCTGGGAGGGAGTTTGGGTGCAGGATGCAGGCTCTGGGAGGGAGTTTAGGTACAGGCTCTAGGCTGGGGCAGGGGGTTGGGGTGCAGGAGAGAGTCGGGGGTCGGTGTTTACCTCGGGCGGCTCACGAAAGCGACCAGCACATCCCTCTGGCAGCAGCTCCTACAAAGGGGGGCAAGAAGGGGGTCTCAGTGCACCGCTGCCCACAGGCACCGCCCCTGCAGCTCCCATTGGCCGCAGTTCCTGGCCAATGACAGCTGCGGAGTCGGCACTGGGGGTGGGAGCAGCACCCAGAGACCCCCGTTTGCCCCCCCAGGGGCCACAGGGACAGTGCCAGGAGCGGCGCGGAGCCAAGGCAGGTAAGGGAGCCTGCCTTAGCCCTGCTGCCACGCCTGACTGTTTGTGCCCCAAATCTCCTGGTTTAGCTGAAGTAGCCTCCGGGAGATAGAGTGTGATTCCAGGAGACTCCTGGTGAAACTGGGAGGGTTGGCAACCCTAATTCTGCCTGCACGCTCCAACACATCCCCTCCCTCTTATTGCTTCCTCCTCACCAACTCTTTGGGCCCTGTCCGCCTCAACCTATGCTGTGCATGTTATGCACCTGTCTTTCTTTTGCTTACCTGCTTGTTGTAAATTACTTCCTATTATTTAAATTCTAGAAAGCACTCTAAGACTGTTTATTGTGAACACAGTGTATATAGTACATTGAGGTCCTATTCCTTGTCTGAGGACCTTAGATACTACTGTATCTATTGAAATAATAATAGCTTGCAGGATTGGAATTTAAGAGGACTGGATTCCAGAGCTCAGGACCATGTATCCCTATATGAACCTAAAAATATTATTCCAATAATAAGCAAGAGAAATCCTACTGTTCTTATAAAAAAAACTGTGCTATGTGTACTACCTTTACAACTTGGCATAAGGACCTTAGTTACTGTAAAATTACAAAGCACACCCTCTTTTGACATTCTGATTAATAATCATCTGGAGTTCTTAGGGGCAATCAACAGCAGATGTGGGATGAATGTGAGATCCGGGAGCACTATGGTCCGTATTATAGAGGAGGTCAGACAACACAAAAAGGTCCCTTACCAAAGGCTTGTAAGTAAAGTAAGCTGTCATGGGATAAGAGGGAAGGTCCTCTCAAGGATCAGTAACTAGTTAAAAGATAGGAAACAAAGAGTAGGACTAAATGGTCAGTTTTCAGAATGGAGAGAGGTAAATAGTGGGGTCCCCTAGGGATCTGTACTGGGCCTAGTCCTATTTAACATATTCATAAATGATCTGGAAAAAGGGGTAAACAGTCAGGTGGCAAAATTTGCAGATGATACAAAACTACTCAAGATAGTTAAGTCCCAGGCAGACTGCGAAGAGCTACAAATGGATCTCACAAAACTGGGTGACTGGTCAACAAAATGGCAGATGAAATTTAATGTTGATAAATGCAAAGTAATGCACATTGGAAAACATAATCCTAAGTATACATATAAAATGATGGGGTCTAAATTAGCTGTTACCACTCAAGAAAGAAATCTTGGAGTCATTGTGGATTGTTCTTTGAAAACATTTGCTCAATGTCCAGCAGCAGTCAAAAAAGCTAACAGAAAGTTGGGAATCATTAAGAAAGGGATAGCTAATAAGACAGAAAATATCATATTGACTCTATATAAATCCATGGTATGCCCGCATCTTGAATACTGCATACAGATGTGGTTGCCCCATGTCAAAAAAGATATATTGGAATTAGAAAAGATTCAGAAAAGGGGCAACAAAAATGATTAAGGATATGGAACAGCTTCCATAGGAGGAGAGATTAATAAAACTGGGACTTTTCAGATGGAAAAGAGACGGCTAAGGGAGGATATGATTGAGGTCTATAAAATCATGACTGGTGTAGAGAAAGTATATAAGGAAGTGTTGTTTACTCCTCTGAACACAAGAACTAGGGGTCACCAAATGAAATTAATAGGCAGCAGGTTTAAAACAAAAGGAAGTATTTCTTCATACAATGCACAGTCAACCTATGGACGTTGTGAACATAAGAACGGCCCCAGTGGGTCAGACCAAAGGTCCATTTAGCCCAGTATCCTGTCTTCCGACAGTGGCCAGTACCAGGTGCCCAGAGGGAACGAACAGAACAGGTAATCATCAAGTGATCCATCCCCTGTCGCTCATTCCTAACTTCTGGCAAACCGAGGCTAGGAACACCATTCCTGCCCATCCTGGCTAATAGCCATTGATGGATCTATCCTCCATGAATTATCTAGTTCTTTTTGTACCCTGTAATGGTCTTGGCCTTCACAACATCCTCTGGCAAGGAGTTCCACAGGTTGACTTATCTACTTTCTCTACACCAGTCTGATTTTATAGACCTCAATCATATCTCCCCTTAGCCATCAATTTTCCAAGCTGAAAAGTCCCAATCTAATTAATCTCTCCTCATACGGAAGCCGTTCCATACCCTTAATCATTTTTGTGGCCCTTTTCTGAACCTTTTCCAATTCCAATATATCTTTTTTGAGCTGGGACGACCAAATCTGCACACAGTGTTCAAGTTGTGGGAGTACCAAGGATTTATATACAGGCAACATATTTTCTGTCCTATTATCTATCCCTTTCTCAATTATTCCCAGCATTCTGTTTGCTTTTTTGACTGCCGCTGCACATTGAATGGATGTTTTCAGAGAATTATCCACAATGACTCCAAGATCTCTTTCTTGAGTGGTAACAGCTAATTTAGACCGCATCATTTTATATGTATAGTTGGGATTATGCTTTCCAATGTGCATTACTTCGCATTTATCAACATTAAATTTCATCTGCCATTTTCCACAGACAACCCGCCAACCTTAAGCATATTCTCACCAGCAACCACGCACCGCACCATAACAACTCTAACTCAGGTACCAACCCATGCAACAAACCTCGATGCCAATTCTGCCCACATATCTACACCAGCAACACCATCACAGGACCTAACCAGATCAGCTACAACATCACCGGCTCATTCACCTGCACATCCACCAATGTTATATATGCCATCATATGCCAGCAATGCCCCTCTGCTATGTACATTGGCCAAACTGGACAGTCACTACGCAAGAGGATAAATGGACACAAGTCAGATATCAGGAATGGCAATATACAAAAACCTGTAGGAGAACACTTCAACCTCCCTGGCCACACAATAGCAGATGTAAAGGTAGCCATCTTACAGCAAAAAAACTTCAGGACCAGACTCCAAAGAGAAACTGCTGAGCTCCAGTTCATTTGCAAATTTGACACCATCAGATCAGGATTAAACAAAGACTGTGAATGGCTATCCAACTACAGAAGCAGTTTCTTCTCCCTTGGTGTTCACACCTCAACTGCTAGCAGAGCACCTCACCCTCCCTGAATGAGCTAACCTCGTTATCTCCCTACCGATTTATACCTGCCTCTGGAGATTTCCATTACTTGCATCTGAAGAAGTGAGGTTCTTACCCACGAAAGCTTATGCTCCCAATACTTCTGTTAGTCTTAAAGGTGCCACAGGACCCTCCATCTGCCATTTTGTTGCCCAGTCACCCAGTTTTGAGAGATCCTTTTGTAGCTCTTCACAGAATGCCTGGGTCTTAACTATCTTGAGTAGTTTTGTATCATCTGCAAATTTGCCAATTTTGTCTTGAAGGCCAAGACGATAACAGTGTTCAAAAAAAAAAAAATTAGATACATTCATGGAGGATAGGTCCATCAATGGCTATTAGCCAGCATGGGCAGGGATGGTGTCCCAGAAGCTGGGACTGGGTGACAGGGGTGGATCACTTTTACCTGTTTTGTTTATTCCCTCAGGATACTGTGCTAGATGGTCCTTTGGTCTGACCCTGTATTGCCGTTCTTATGATCATTCTGGTCCTGTTTGCCCTTAGAAGTCTATTAATTATTCCTTTGTCATTATCTTCCTAGAAGTTAAAATACCATCTACGGGAGGCAACTAACTCCAGGAATTACTGTGCCCCAGCTTTTAACCTGTCACGTCAGGTATAAGTACTACATAAAAGTCAAGAATGATTCTAGTCTATAGCCATTCACTCTGGAAAACACAGCAAAGGGGGAGTTAACGGTAAGGCTCGCAGAGTTAGACACCTGAGAACATGTGACCATACAAATTCAGTGTAAAAGAGGATGTTAGTTAACTGGGTATTCACAGCACATACATCATACACACAATGCAATAACTACAGCGAGACGTGAAGAAAATGCAAGGGACCCCGTGGCCGACCACGGAATCACCCGACTTCATGTTTTGTGCCGAACTTACAGCATTTCTAGACCAGGCTTTGAGAGGCCATGACAACAAACCCGTCAGCCCCACATGGGATGACTGCGAAAACGGGCAGTAAAGCCCAGGGCAGCAGCGGGAAGGCTCAGCGCTTTCTCCGGCGGGATGGGCGAAGGGGATAGGCTTGTCCGCCTCTGGCCCCTCCCGGCCCGAGCCCTGGCAACCCGGCCTCCAGCGCTGGGGTCGGGCCTGCTCAGGGCGTGGGGCCTAGCCCACATCCCCATTGAGTCGAGACCGCCCGGGGGAGTGGGAGCAGGGCCCGGTGCGGGATGGGCAGCGGGGACGAGCTGCCTTGGGAAGCCCCACCTCCCCCGGCCCTAGGCTCATTTACCGCCCGGCCCCCTCGCCTCGCCCTACTCCACTCCTGAGCGGAGCGGAGCGCGGCCCAGCACCCGACCCGACCCGCCCCGCCCGGACCTCCCGGCTTTGATCCGCTAGAGTCGCTCCCTTCGCGGCCCACGGGCACCCCCTCCCCGGGCCGCCCCCACCGAAAGTGGGTGGTGCCGGTCGGGTTGCGTTCGGCAGCGGACCGGAAGTAACCCGGCAGTTCCAGTGGCGTAGCCCGGATGCTGCGCTGGCTGTTTCCGGCCACCTCAGTAGTAGAGGCCAGTCAGAGGGTGGCAGCAGGCAGGCAGGCAGGGAGGGCGGGCGCGGGGCCGAGCAGCGGCAGCGGCTCCCGGGTTGGAGCGGCGTAGACATGGTGCTGCTGACTATGATCGCGCGGGTGGCGGACGGGCTCCCCCTGGCCGCCTCCATGCAGGAGGATGAGCAGGTGAGAGACCGAGACACCACCACCCCTCCCGGCCCAGAACCCCCGAGATCCCCCAAGCCCCACCCTCTCCCGGCCCAGAGCCCCCCAATTTTCCCCCGCTCCCGAGACCCCCCCGATTCCCCCGCTCCCGGCCCAGAGCCCCCCACTCCCGACAGGTCCCCCCTATCTCGCCCCAGAAGTCCCCCCCCCCAAGCACTCCCTCCCGGCCCCCGAGATCCTCCCCAGATCCCTTCTCTCCCTGTTCAGCGGCCCCCCTTCCCGAGCCAGAGCCCTTCCCCAGACGCACACCCTCTCTTCCTGGCCCAGAGCCCCCCCAGACTGAGATCCGTCCTCGGGGGGGACACAGAGGCTGTGTGGAGGCTTACAAAGCAGACCCTAGGTGGGTTGGATGTGTGCCCTCAGAAGGCTGTGGTAGAGCTTGACTGTGCTGGCAAACGTGAGTTTCATGCAAGGTTGATGACATTTGGCACTGTTCTTCTCGCACTGTGATCCCATTGGACACTAGACTCACCCACCCCCTGGGACGGAGAGAAAGACATGAAATAGAAATAGATGAAATAGTGTATTAATGGGTGATTAGTCCACTGACAACAGAGTGAAGTATAGCCTTATAATTCTGGAACCTAATGGTACCTTTTTAATGTTAGTTGGAGCTCTTTTCCAATTCAGCAAGGCTACTTCTGTTATAACCAATTATAATACTCATTAACATCAAACCTACTGATAAGCAGATTTACATTTTTGCCACCTTTTTATTGGCTGTTTACATTATACATTATTTAAATTAACACTTGCACGAATTTTATTTTCAAACTATTAATACAATCATTTTAATAAGTGATTTTTAAATTTTAAAATGTTTTATTAAAAATTCTGCTAAAACAGTTATAACCAAATCATAGCCACAACATAACTTTGGGTCATGTCTTTGTTACCTTCAGGTTTTTTTATTTTACTATTTTCAATTTATTTTTAGCTTTTTTTAAACTAACAGCTTTAATTTTCCATACTTGTCTACACTTAAGCTAACTGAAACCTAAGCCTAATTTTGATTTAACCTATTTTATAGGCTACAGCAGACACAGCTTACATTGATTAAAAGTCTTTTCTGTTGGGTAGGAGTGCTACCTCCCCAAACGATACTATTTATGTGACAGAAGCATTCTTCCATCAACGTAGTTGCATCTGTCCTGGGGGTTGGTTCAGCATAGCGATGTCAGGGGGGTGTTTTTTTCACACCCCGCCTGATGTAGGTGTGTAGACTAAGATTTATAGTCCTTGAGAAAGGCGGAGACTAGATTTGGCACCAAGTTCTAGGCACCCCGCCTCCCCCCAGCATCTAGACTCCCGAGAGAGAGACCAGGTGTCTCCTCAGTATCAATGAAGTTCCTAGAGAGCCTTCCAGCACTGAGATCCCAAAGTAGATCAAAACTGTGTAAGACGCCAAGACCCACCCATCAGTGAGATTCTCACATACGTGCACACTTTTGAGGGAGCAAGCTAATACTTCTGGAGAGAGAGATCCTGGCAGTATGTCTTCACTGCAGTGTAAGCCCAGGTTAGTAGAACTCAAGTTAGCAGCAGGACCAGCGCTTCCACTAGGCGACCCTAGGCCTCACTCGCTCCGGGACCCGCCACCGAAGTGCCCCGAAGATGCGGAGCAGAAGGACCCCCCGCCGCCGAATGCTCAGAGGAGGAGCACTGCCGCCTAGGGCAGCAAAAACCCTGGCGCCGCTCCTGGTTAGCAGACCCAGGATTTGTTAACCGAGGTTTGACCATCTATACTCATTTATAACCCGAGGAATTGTTGAACCTTGGGTCCCAGCTTGGGGCTCCAGCATCCATGCTACATTATACTGGTCTGAGTCCAACCACCCTTATCCCAGACTTCTTAGCACCCTCCCAAAATGTGTCCACTCTACCCCTTTGTTCATGGTGCCATGTGGGAAAACTTGACTGTCCAGAGGACAAAGAAAGCTGGCCTGTGGGATTGTAGGACATCTTTGGCACAGCGTGAGTCTAGCAGGGCTGTGTCTACACTGCAAAGTAATAGGGCTTGAACCCTGTGTTCCAGTTTGACTCAGACTTGGACCCTTCACCCGTGGGGTACTGGGACCCAGGGTCCAAGTCCTGAGTTAGCACAATTTGTGTGTAGACAGATGGGAGTGGGGTAGGCTTAAGCCTGAGTTCAAACCTGGGGCTGACACTGCAGTATAGACATACCATTTGAATCATGAACTCTTCCCCTCTCCCTCAGGGCAGTGAGACTGAAGCACCTTCTCTGGACCAAGACCCTGCACAAGAGATGCCACAAAAAACAAAACAAAACTCCCTAGGGGACCTCCTAAATGGGGACTGAGATATTCATCAGAGGTAGATTCCTGAGATTTACCAGCACCTACCTCTTAGTTTGACTGTGTTCATTGACTTCAGATCCAATTCTGGTAAAACTGTTTGAGGTTAGCTATGGATATCATGTTAGTTTCCTTGTGGGAAAGGGCCTGCCTATACCTTAAGAGGTTGTTGTATTGTTTGTAGTTCATTTTGCCATATGGTAGAACCATGCCTAATAGACTTTTTCCCCTTCTCAGTCAGGTCGGGACCTGCAACAGTATCAGAGCCAAGCTAAACAGCTTTTCCGGAAGTTGAATGAACAGTCGCCTACCAGATGCACCCTAGAAGCAGGATCCATGGCTTTCCAGTAAGTAAAACATGCTGTCGAGATTAAGGTGGAAAATGTAGGTATCCCAACCTACATCTATAGAAAACTGAAAGGTACTTCCAGGAGACATTGGAGGTATACTAGAAATTGGGCCATCAGAGAAGAGTAAGAGTCATCCCACCAGCCATGGGAAACCTGTGCTCAGAGAGAGTGTTATTTCCTTTTATATCCTTTCAATCATTTTAAAATTTCTTTTCTTCTCTAGCATTGTTAGACTTCCTGCATTCCTATCCAGTTCTTGTATTCGGCCACTCTCTTTTCTGTAGACTGCATATATTTGGTCCCCTTTATGTTTTCTCTACAGATTGTGCCCACTAATCATTCTAGCATCTGTTGTCCTTTGGATTCTCTGAGGTTTATCAATATATTTTTTTAATAGTGAGGAGTCCCACCTATACTTAGGTTAGCATTACTACAGTTGATTCTTCCTATACAAGATTCTCTTCTCTCTCCATTCCACTATAGTATATCCTTTCATGTATCAGCCTTGCACTACGAGCTCATCTAATTTGTTGTTCATTATTTCCCTGATTCTCCTCAGCATTTCTGCTCTCCAGCAAGCATTGTCCATGTTTTATACACTTTTGATTAGTATTAATAACCCGAAGTGTCTTAGCTGCATTTAGCTCATCCCTTTGAGTTCACTGTCTCACTCTAAAACCTTCCATAATGTTTGCCCTTTGCTTTCATTGTAAACCCTTCTAAGTTAGGGTCATCTGCAAATCTTACTGATGTACAACATAGTTCTAGCAGACTTGCTCAGGGTAAGCAGCGAGCTGGCAAAATCTGCAGGCGACACAACATCATGTAGGTTAAGACCTAAGAAGACTGATGTACTTCAGAGGGACTTAATCAAGCTAGGCAGCACAGTGGCAGTTGAAGTGAAATGTTGACACATTCAAAGCTATGCACATTGGAACCTCCTAGGTTCTAAACCAGGGGTTGGCAACCTTTCAGAAGTGGTGTGCCGAGTCTTCATTTATTCACTCTAATTTAAGGAGGTTTCGCGTGCCAGTAATACATTTTAATGTTTTTAGAAGGTCTCTTTCTATAAGTCTATAATATATAACGAAACTATTGTTGTATGTAAAGTAAATAAGGTTTTTAAAATCTTTAAGAAGCTTCATTTAAAATTAAATTAATATGCAGAGCCCCCCGGACCGGTGGCCAGGACCTGGGCAGTGTGAGTGCCACTGAAAATCAGCTCGCGTGCCGCCTTCGGCACATGTGCCATAGGTTGCCTACCCCTGTTCTAAACTAAAGATTGAAAACATTTGACTGGCTACCTTTAGAGAGGAGATTAATAAGAGGGGACATAAAAGTATACAAAATGATGAAAGTTATAGAGAAGGTAGAGGCACCTCTAATCACCTTCTCTCATAACACAAAAACAAGGGAACAGCGAAGTAAACAAAAAGTCAAAACTGATAAAGGAAATTGTTTTCAATGCAATTAATTGCCACAGGATCTCATTGAGGGCAAGACGGTAGCAAGATTTAAAAAATTTGTACAGGTAAAAATATCTAGAGTTAAAAACCCTTGTTTGGAAGCACTCTCATGGCACAAAGCCAGTCTGTAATAGTTGGGGCTTAGGAGGCAGCTTTCCTCAAGATGGGTTAACTCATAATCACTTACTGCAGGTTTTTCCACATTTTTTCACTTTTCTCTAAAGCAGTCTGGTGCTGGCCATTGTTGGCAATGGGGTGCTGGACTAGGTAGCCCACTGGTTTGATCCAGTCAGGCAATTCCTGTGTTGAGAATTTCTGTTCCCAAAGATGCTACTTGATATCTCTTACCAGTTTGCAGTCAATCTGTCAGTCATTTGTTTCCATACCACAATATTATCCAAACATCATTCTGACTTCCACTGAGATGCCTGGGGAAGATTATATCTAAATCATACTAAAGCTCTTGCTATGTAGTGTCCATAGTTCTCTCTGCTTACCAAACTTATAACTATATCAAAAAAGGCTATCCGGTTTTTGGTCACAGTTATTTATGAATCACAACCACCTTGCAGTGGCTTTGATCTCATCAGAGCTGTTAAACTAAGAAAATTACAGCCAAGTTCAGTATTTCTCTGGGAGATCTTAGAGGTGCAGTTGAGGGGTGTTGGAAGTGTTGTGGGTGAGTAGGCAGGGGAAGAGCACTTTGCCCTGTGAGTCAGCATTGAAGCAGTTCTTCAGCCAACTGTTAAGGCAGGGGTGGGCAAACTACGGCCCGCGGGCCGGATCTGGCCCCACAGGGCTTTGGATCTGGCCCACGGGATTGCCCTCTGTGGCACTGTGGGCCCCACGCCCCTGCAGCCCTCGGGCGGGGGGGCTCCATGCGTTACCCTTGCCTCCAGGCATCACCCCCCGCAGCTCCCATTGGCTGGGAACGGGGAACCGCGGCCAATGGGAGCTTCGGGGGAGGTACCTGGAGGCGCGGCAAGGGCAGAGCACATGGAGCCCTCCGCCCCGCCCTCCCACAGGGGCCGCAGCGGTGCCCTGAGCCCAGTGCACGCCGCTGCCACCCCAGAGCCGCTTTAGGTAAGCGGCGCCGGGCCGGAGCCCAAACCCCTCCTGCCCCCTAACTGCCTGCCCCAAGCCCCTGCCTGCCCCTCGCACCCCTCCTGCACCCCAACTCCCTGCCCTGAACTCCCTGCTGCATCCTGCACCCCTGTGCACCCCAACTCCCTGCCCTGAACCACCTTGTACATCCTGCACCCCAACCCCCTGCCCTGAGCTCCCTGCTGCACCCTGCACCCCTGTGCACCCCAACCCCTTGCCCTGAGCCCCCTGCCACACCCTGCACCCCAACCCCTGCCCTGAGCCCCCTCCTGCACGCCGCACCCCTCCTACACCCCAACCCCGTGCCCTGAGCCCCCTCTGACCCAATCCCTTGCCCTGAGCCCCTTCTTGTACACTGCACCCCCTCCCACACCCCGCACTCCCTCCCACACCGCAACCCCCTGCCCCGGCCCTGCATACAATTTCCCCACTCAGATGTGGCCCTTGGCCCAAACAGTTTGCCCACCCCTGTGTTAAGAGGTGCAGATTGCTGCTGGTGCCATTTTTAGGATGAGACATAAAGTCACAGATGAAAAAGAAAATCCGTTTTAGTTTTAAACAAAAATTCTAATGAAACTTTTGATAATGCTGAATAAAAAAAAATGGTGTTTGAGATTTGGCCTAAAATAGTCCTCTTTAGTGGCTAGTGCATTAGCTTGGCCGAGGAAAAAAATGTTCTTCGTTAACTGACATTCTAACTGCTTGAAAATAACATAGTGCAGAGTAAAAAATGCCATGACAGATGTCGTGGAGCAAAATGGAATGTGCACTTCTCCAAATGTGCTGAGGTGTTAATATGAATAGCCTTGAAACTGACAAAGTTTGAAGAAAATTTGGCTCTCACTGAGACCCCAGACCAAGTTTGAAGAATTTTCTTCGGCCATTTTAATGTTGGAGATTAAAGTCAAAAAGCCTTACAACCAACTCAGTTATCATGGCATGTGAGTATACACACTGATAGGTATGCAGGTGATAAGTGCCTATGCAGTCCGCTGTGAAATTAGTTACTAGCTGACCTTTGGCTGATTAGTGTTGTAAGTCTTTAAGTGCACAGATTACTAGTTTCATGAAAAGGCAACCCTTGGCCTTTGCCAGCTGGTGCCTCTTAAAGAAGTGTTTTTTTCCTCTCTCTTAAAATAAATGTAAAATATTAAAATAAATATAAGAAATTAAATTCCAAAAGTATATTAATTAAGATTGCACAGATAAACATTCAGAAATCAAGAATGCAAAAAGTTAAAGGTGGCCAACTGTATCTCTCTCCCCTACATACATGCATTGCAAAAAGGGCTAATTACATGATTTTATACTGTTTTAAAATTTATACCAAAAAAGTGTTAGTGCAGTGTTAAAGTTGTGAAATCAAGCCGTTACGTGAGAAAATTTATATTACGGTTAATCTGGGGTGGCAATGCTATGCGGCATTGGAAATCTGTGTGCTTTCTCTACTGATATAGAAAACTTGGAATCCGAAACAGCTAATATCACAAAAGGAGTAAAAACAGCTCTGGGAAACATGGAGACCAAGGCAAGAGAGCTCAGATCAAAACCGGCTGGCCTAAAGTGTGATGGTGCGGCTGTGCATATGACAGGAGACCGTGTTAAGAGAAGATATTGTACTCTAGCTTGCTGTTACACCTCTACCCCGATATAACGCTACCCGATATAACACGAATTCAGCTATAACGCGGTAAAGCAGTGCTCCAGGGGGGCGGGGCTGTGCACTCCGGTGGATTAAAGCAAGTTCGATATAAAGCGGTTTCACCTATAATGCGGTAAGATTTTTTGGCTCCCGAGGACAGCGTTATATCGAGGTAGAGGTGTATGTGCCTCATAGGAGATTATCCCTATCTTAAAAGGTTTTGTTTTGAAATATGTTTTCTCATTTTGCTCTTCGAATCCTGAAAGATTATGTATGGATTGCTCAAGCTCTTGATAATGATTTGAGGTAACAGTGGGTTATGCTGGGAGGGATCCAGTATGTGTGTTGGGTTGGTAGTCAGGTCAGAACACTGAAGACAAGGATCAAAAATGATCGTTTGGCTAGCACTGTTTTGGAACATACTTTAGAAACTGGGTCATGGACTGATGTGGAACAAGTTAGGGGCTTTCTTAGGGTAAATCAAGAAGCTAATTTGTGAGTATATTCTATTCCATGGTGGACAGTGGTGACTACACTCTTACTGTTCAAGGCAAGCCCCGTTGTTGTTTGAGGCTTTTTACTAAAGCTAGGAAGTACCATGTTGGGAGTGCAACAAAAACAGATAATCCTGGCCTCTCTGTCCAAAAATTAATTCTTGAATGTGGCAAATTTGAAGGATTTAAACATTTCTGGGTCGCTAGAGGCTAAGCTGAGGAAAAATCAGATCTGTATGCTTGAAGCTGCTGTTGAACATATGGATACCAGAATTACCAGGCTATTGTATGGTTTCAAAACTTTCATTCCACACAGCAGCCTAGTGATTGAGAAAATAATTGGCCCATTATGGCAATGTACAAATTAACAGCGTGCTAAATCACTACATATGTGTGTTAAGTAAAGAGAAAAGGATAGGTGACTTACCAGTTACTTTTAATGCCAATAAATCCACAATAGTGCATATGCATAATGAAAGTTTTGAACCCCTAGGCAACCTACCTTAGTCCCATCAATAACAATATAACCTCTATGTCCTCATTGTCTTGTATCACTGTGGTGCTACAATACGAGTTTTCCACAGTTATTTAAATTAAAACAAGCCCCCAAACACACACGTGTGCTTTGTTGCATGCCATGACTTGGGCCATTCAATTATATCTGCATCCAGTATAGGTGACTTTCAGCCCTCTCTGGTATGCTGTACTACTGTCTGGAAGAGCAACAAACATGGTAATAAACATAATCACAGTTAGCATTCAACAGCAGGCAGCACTAGTTAGTGGAGGGGTAGCTAAGTGCTGTTCTATATGTTCAGATCTAAATCTCAAAATCCAATGGACTTCATCCAATCAGATTTGTTCTTGAATTAGAAATAAAATACATATTCTCTGTTCTGGCATGGGAACTCAAACTGACACTAAAGTAAGGACAAAACTAAACTTGCAAGAACAAATGATAGTTAGACACTAAAAAGGGGATTGGGGGTGGGGGGGGGGGAAGGGATTAAACCCTGGCTCATTAGTCAAAAACAAAACAAGTGGAATGCAGCAAAGTGCCATTAAGCAGTCACACCAGCTACTATATTTCATCATAGCCTACATGTGAATGAGGCCACAGTCTGAAAATTATTGGCACAATCACACTTTCTTGTCAGATAACAAAACCTGAAGTCCCAGTGGTCCATGGACAAGCAGCATTTCTGTTTCTCAGCTTGCCTCTGTGAGGCTTTGTGTATGGGAAATGGAGTCCCATGTCTAAGACTCATCCAGGGTGGAGTTTGGGATGCCCCAACTAGTCTCCTAAGGCTGTGCAGGGCTGACTACCTATCTGATGATTGCCAGGGGATTGATGCAGTTCTGAATCTCTGTAGGAGATGCCACAATAGTCTTCTCTCCCTATTCCCCCCACCCCCCCTTTCCTGCTGACCTCCAGGAGAAGATGCTCCTGTGCACTGTACAACATATCCTCTCCCCCATACATTATGGAGCTGCCCTACTGGGTCAGACCACGGTGCATCTTGGTCAGTATCCTGGCTCCGACAGTGGTCTGTACCAAAGCTTGAGGGGGAGTATACAGAACAGGGCAATTATGGAGTGATCCACCCCATCTTTCACTCCTGGCTTTTTGTAGTCAGAGGTTAGGGTTGCCCTGTGTATGCGTTTGCCTTCCTGACTGTTTTGGCTAATAGCCATTGATGGACTTATCCTTGATGGACTTATTCAGTTCTTTTTTTTAACCGAGTTATACTTTTGGCCATCACAATACCTGTGTCAATGAGTTCCGCAGGTCAGTTGTGTGTCGTGAAAAAGTACCTTCTCTTGTTTATATAAAACCTGCTCCCTGTTAATTTCATCACCTGAGCCTTGGTTTTTATATTATGGGAAAGGCTAAATAACACTTCTCTGCGCTCACTTTCTCCATGCTGTTCATTTTATAGACCTCTATCATATCCCCCCTTAGTCGTCTCTTTTCTAATCTTTTTTAGTCTCTCCTCATACGGAAGCCATTCCCTACCCTTGATCATCTTTGTTGCCCTTTTCTGTACCTTTTCCAATTCCACTACATCCTTTTTGAGATAGGGTGACCAGAACTGGACGTAGTATTCAAGGTGTGGATTTACCGTGGATTTATACAGTGGGATTATGATAATATCTGACTTATTTTCTTTCCCTTTCCTAATAGTTCTTAAGATACTGTTAAGCATTGTTACCACTGCTGCACATTAAGCAGAAGTCCAGGGTGATGCCAAGATCTTCCTTGAGTGATAACAGCTAATTTAGAACCCAACATTTGGGATTATTTTTTCCAGTGTGCATTACTTTGCACTTACCAATGTTGAATTTAATCTGCCATTTTGTTACCAGAAAGGGCATGGGAGTGTGGGGCCTGCCTCCTTCAGATGACAGAATGTCAGCAGGAAGAGGGGAATGTCCCTTATTCTGCTAAATCCAATGTCAGGACTTTTTAAAACAACAAACAAAAACACTAAGGAAATTCCCAGGCAAAACTTTGTTAAAATGAAGTTAAAAGCCTTTGGCAGGGATTGAACCCATGATCTGAAGCCTCAATAACACTGTAGTTAGGGAAAAGAAAAGAAAAACTAAGGTATTCAGAAAGACTTAAAATGAAGCCTAACGTGTAAAACTGTGGAAATTCAGTCATGATACTTGCAGTAGAGTAACTCTGTCCTGAGCAATGCACCGAGAACCTGAAACTTAGACTACAATATCCATCCCAAACAAACATTCATCTTAGCAGGGGATGCTAGAGCTAGACTATAGTGTGCTGGTTTGTGCCAACTCAGCTGCCTTTGTGGCTATGAAGTCCAAATAAAAATGCTTTACAATGTCCTGGTAAGATGAGCTTGCTGAAAGGAGTCATTCCCCACTCCTCATTAAGGGCTCCAACCTGCCAAGCATTGCGTGCTCTCATCACCTTGCAGGGTCAGGCCCTAGGATTCTGCATTCCAGCCAGATATCCAAGATGATGTCTCATATAAATTCTCCTAGGAGGGTGAGTAGATGGAGATTATGGTATTTGCAGAGGAAAGGAAAGGGTTAGTGCAATGACAAGATATCTCAATATTGGGGAGACACGTATGAAGCCTGCTGTGCGATGCCTGGTATGCTTTTGTGTGTAGTATAATAATAAACCCAAAGGCTGGGACACTCTGCCATAGAGAAGGAAATATGAGAAAGGGAAAAGTGGTGTCTTACAGGGGCAGGGTTAAAATTTGTCCGGTTTGTTCTCTTCTAGCTACGTTATTGAGAAAGGGGTGTGTTACCTGGTGTTGTGTGAGGCCACCTTCCCCAAGAAGCTGGCCTTTGCATATCTGGAGGATTTGCATTCCGAGTTTGATGAACAGCATGGAAAGAAGGTGCCGACGGTCTCCAGGCCTTATTCCTTCATTGAGTTCGGTGAGGTCCTTCCCCTTGAGACTAATTAATAAACATCCTGTTTGTTTGGCCACATTAGCCTCTCCCAGCTCAGGCCATGGAACTTACCACTGACAGTGGAGAAATCTGGTGCTCTCTATGAGCCAGGCATGCCAGGTATGTGAATGGAGAAATGGTAGGGGAAATGGCAAATTTTCTACAATCCAACTTTCCGCTTTTTCTTGTTAGCATTCGTGTGCACCTTGCTCACTCTCTCTGCAGTGCTCTGCACTGGGGTAGCCCAGAAAAAGACAGCACTGGATGCTCATGCTCCGTGGGCAGCCATATTGTTACTCTAGGCAGCGGTTCTCCCGATTGTGTTAAAGGGTGGGAAGCAAACCAGCAAACTTCCTCTCACTTGAGGTCACATGGGCAATGTAGGGACTTCCAAAACAGCCCTCAGCTGTACTTTTATGGCAGCATTGGAGAGATGTGGGAAGTGGATGTGAAGCATGGTGGAGCCAACTCTCATTAAGCATTGAGGAAACCTCTGAGCTGATTGGCTTCAGATGTACATGTCCTCTTTTGGGTGGCCTGTTCTTGTAAGTCCAAAGGGCATCCATCCTGTCAACTGCTTTGTCCCTGGTGAAGGCACGCAGGATGCAACGTGCTCTAAAACAAGTCATCAGTGTTCCTTGTGTCTGTCAGGGGAGGAAGGGGTTGTTAAATTGCCCTTGGGGTATGCTGTCATGAGGTCAGGTGGTTGGGATCTACTCAGAGCGGGGTAAGAGGTGTGGTGGTGGGTGCAGTTTTGGAGGGAAAGAGGTGGAGGCTGGCTCGAGGGATGTTCTTGGCACGGCAGGCAGGAAGTGCTGGGGGGAAAAGTTTTCCATGTTGACAACCACCTTTTGTTCCAGACACTTACATCCAGAAAACCAAAAAACTCTACATTGACAGCCGGGCAAGAAGGAACTTAGGCTCCATCAATACAGAGTTACAGGATGTGCAGAGAATCATGGTGGCCAACATTGAAGAAGTCTTACAGCGAGGAGAGGCGCTCTCAGGTACACGGAGTTCAGCTTTTGAAACTCCTTCCTCTCTCTGAGGCTGGCAGGCGGGAGATGGCTGAGGGAAGGATTCTGAGACTGGGTGGCAAAGAGGGCCTCCTGAATCAAGATTGCCTTGTAGTGTGTATGTCTGGCTGAAAGTGCATTTTCATTTGTCTGATCTACATCATAAATAAGGCTAAGATTTAGTATGGGGTATAAAAGTCATGGATAGGTCACAGGCAATAAATAAAAATTTGCGGCCCGTGACCTGTCCATGGCTTTTACTAAAAATACCTGACTAAACCTCTACTGCTGCTTCGGGCCCTGCTCGAGTGCTGGGGGTTGGCTGCCCCTGGCTGCTGCTCCTGGGGACTGCTCACCGGACGGCCTCCGGGCACTCCTGGGGCCGCTGCTCCAGCTGCCTCAGGACCGCTGCTGTTCGGGCAGTCCCCAGGGCACCCCCAAGACCGCTGCTCGGGCACTCCCCGGAGCCAGCCACACTGGCCACTGTTCTAGCAGTCCCCAGAGCCAGCTGCCTGGGGCCTCCTGAGTAGCAGGCGGTGCGGCTGGCCCCAGGGACAGCCAGAGCAGCTGGCCCCGGGTCACTCCAGCAGCGGCAGGTGCAGCTGGCTGTGGGGCGGCCCTGAAGTCAGCCACACCAGCCGCTGCAGAAGGCATGGAGATTGCAGAAAGTCATGGAATCTGTGACTACCGTGACCTCTATGATTAAGGCTGCTATTCTTTCACAAACCATCTGGCAATTTGTAACCCTACTTTGGGAGGAGCCAAAGCCCCTTGTGGGCGTGGGGCTGTTCTTGTCCTGTGAAGATGAATGTTGGTGGTGTGTGTCAAGGACAGGAGTGATGTGTGCTAGTGTTTTGAAGGTGCTGGTGAAGTTACTGTTGACCCTTCTGTTTGGGGAGGTAAACAGTTTATATTGCATTGTGTTGTGGCTTGGCTAACGAGCTTAATGTAGGAATCCTTCAGAACATGAGGAATGGAGTATGCACAATAAATCAGATAAAGCTCCAATAGAGCAGCTGCAATTATCTATGAACACAATACAGCGGGAGTGTCTTGTTACTGTTAATCCTGCAATTAATCTGCTTCCACTTTCTCTTCCTTAACAGCTTTGGATTCCAAGGCCAACAACTTGTCCAGTTTGTCCAAGAAGTACCGTCAAGATGCAAAGTATCTTAACATGCGTTCCACCTATGCCAAACTGGCAGCCGTAGCTGTGTTTTTTATCATGTTAATAGTCTATGTGAGGTTCTGGTGGCTGTGAGATGTTGGCAGTCACTGGAGAGGGAGAGCCTGTAGCATGGCAGGTGTATGTGTGCAGCACACTTTGTTCACGGGGATGTGCATTAGAATCCACACAGGACTGTCACCTTTAAGGGTGTGTCCTGAAAATGATACCTGAGTACTACACTGCTTAGTGAATCTTAATTAATCATAGGTATAAAGTCTTCTTGGTGGACTAGAGGCTTTTCCTATGAGGCACTAAACACTAGGGACTTGGTAGAGTGTGGCTTCCCAGTGTACTAAACTCATTAACAGTGCTGTTTGATGTGTCCTGGAGCAGTTAATCAGTGAAGTTTATCCTAATCAGGCGGTACTGGCAATAGTCACTTCTTCCTCCCTTTTAAAAAGTAGCTCTAGTGGGAAATGGACTCTAATGAACATTCCTTGTGTCAGCAATGTTTGCTTTTCTAGAATCTGGGTCTGCATTTGCTTTTTTAAAACAAGACTCCCTTGTTTGAAGACTGATTCTGCACTGTACATATGTAATGGCTTTCACCCTTGTCAAACTAGCTATTGTTGGGTTTTCATTGTCCGACATCTTTGCTTGTTAAATTTTCAATTGCTTTAGGAATAAATGGATATTAAATTATGCCTTAAAATTACATTATATTTAGTCTTAGGAGAGACAGTGAAAGGCCACTATCACTGACTCCTACAAAATTAAACTACTAGTTTGTAAATCTCACTTTCCTGGCAGTTGTGTATAAGAGCTTGTTTTAACGTGACTCAGAACAGTCTGTTTGTGTAATTAAAAAGGCACTGGCCCAGGCACAATGCAAACAATTTCATCTCTGTTTTCCTGCCATCTATCTATCTCCAGAATCATTGCATTATTTCTTTCCCCTTTGTAAACATTCTTTATTCCTCAAACAAGTGTATCACTACTGCTAGCATTCCAGCACTTGCAAACTACTCTACAAAAACAGCCCAGTGTGTGTGATGAAGAAAAAGTAGAACATTTCTTTAAAGAAACATTTCCGTTTCAAGTTTCTGTGAGTTTGGTGATAGAGAATAATACAGAGTTTTAAAAACTACGATCCCTTGTTAATGTCCTGTTCTCCCGATGGTCACCCTCTCTCCACTTCTTTTGGCAAGATCTAACTGTAGCTGAAGAGAAATTCATATTGTGGGGCTACAGCATTTAATTTCTTAACTTGTTTCTCACTAGACAATGTAAATAGTTCCATCATGATGTGATTTTTTTATATATATAATTTTTTTTTGGTCCAAATGCTAGAAACTGTCTTGCCTATTAGGCTTTAGTTTTTTAAATCAAAGCTCTGTACAGGCATCCCCCACCTTTTCCACAATAAGGTGTCTGTTTCTGTCATTATCTAGCAAGTGAACACACTCTCATAGAACAGACAGAACAGAAGGAGAAATTCAAAGTTCCTCAGCACCTTCAGAAAACACTTAATCTGCTGCAACTCTGAAAGTGTAAGCTGTAACCAAGATGGTCTCCTGCGGTAAAGTAGGGCATAGGAGCGAAAAGAAGCCTGAGTGACTCCCCTCTCCTCCTCCTGGGGGCACGCAAATAGGCAGCTAAAATTTGTCTGCTGATCTACTTGCAAACCTGATCTGTCAGTCTCATCTTCTGATTTTTGCATGATGTTTCCATTTGTTTATTTGTAGAGAGCTGTACTTTTAAATTCTTAAAAGTTGTGTCCCTGACAGATGAATGTACAAGTGATCTAGGTCTGTGTGAAACTTAGGTACTGAGAGGTGAGCAGACACCACATCTAGATTCTGTAATGACCTATAGGGAGTAAAACTCTCTTGCAGTGAATGGCAGCTCAGTGAGCAGTTGCCTGCTGCAGCCCCAGTGTCACAGTGAAATAAACACTTGCAAAAGTTCATTTCCTTTAGTGTGGAGTTTCCTGTCTATATACAGTGTTTTCATAAAACACCCTCTCCTTCCTTCTCATGGTCCAATTTGTCCTGGGGTAGAACTGGGCAAAGGCCACTTGGTAAATGCTGTATTAATGGAGTAGGCTTGTACCTAGGGTGGAACATGTCCTTTAACTGGGGCTGGGCTCAATTTTTCGCCTGTAAGTTGGGTAGAGTTTGGCAAATGTCATTGTCCTTTTCTAGCCCCTAGCGGGAAAACTTCTAATGTTACCTATTACAGGTGGGCCCAAGGCCTGCCTTTGTGACCATAAATGCATGTGGAGAGTAACATGTATGCAGCTGCAGCTATTTTGTGTAGCAGTTTGCAGCTTAGGTAGGTCTCGGCCCTGAGAAGCAAGTCTTAATTAATACAGCAAGCTAGTCAGTGCCCTATGCATTCCATGGCTTTGAATTTGCTGAAGAATCCATCCCTTGCTGTACTCAGAACTGTACTCAGAATGTGTTTTTATTTTAAAAATATTGTTCCTAGTCCTTTCCAAGGTGCAGAAGATCTTAAAAACGGGATGCAGCTAGAGTACCCTGTAGTGTGACAGTGCCCCAGACCAGTGTCCTGTCTGGGAGGGATCAGTGCTACATGCTGCAGGGGAAGTTACAGGAAACCCTGAAGTTGATGGTTGTGGAATAATCTACAACCACAAGGGGGAAAGGTTTCGCCTTCCCCCGGCAGTTGTCAGTAAGTTTATGCTATGAAGCCTGAGTGTTTATGTCCTTTCTAATTTTGTGATCCTGGTTAACTGAACTCTGCATGTTCTCATTCACAATTTTTTTTAATCCTAAGATTTTGACATTAATATCTAATGCAATGCATTCCAAATGCTAATTGTGCATTGTTTTAAATTGGCTGCCTTCGACTTGATTATATGTCCCATGAGATGGACTCCAGGTCCAACACTGCCCTGCCTTCAGTCCAAAACAGAGGCATTCTGGGAGTTGTAGGCCTCACATCAAGAAGTGCTGGGAGGATGGGCAGTATGAAAGCGGCTCCCTTACCTCAGGGCAAGAGACAGCAAGGTGGGGGAGCTTTGGCTCTCCAGTCAAAGGCTGGGAAGAGGCCTAAACAGCAACCAGTCAGAGAGGGTCACTTGGGCATCATCACAGAACCTTCAAGTAGCCAGAACTGGAGCCTGGCACCAGGTTTTCCTGAAGTACCCTGAGGAGGGGGTAGTCTGGGTAGAGATCCAGAAATGGAGACATCTCAGGTCTGGTTTACACCTAAAATTTAGGCCAATTTAGTGACATTGCTCAGGGCTGTGAAAAATGTCATGCCCTCTGTGATGTAGTTAGGTCGACCTAATCCCCATGGCAGATGCAGCTAAATTGATGGAAGAATTCTTTTGTTAACCTTCGTACCCCATCAAAGGTGGTGGATTTACTACAGCAATGGGAAAAAACCCTTCTGTTGCTTTAGTATCTATACTACAGCAGCATAGCTGTGCCACTGTAGTGCTTGTAGCATAGACATATTCATAGAGAGAAGCGAAGGTTGTAGCCTGAGCAAAGAAAAGAAGAGGGAGTTTAGGGCCAGATCAGCCTGCTTCATTAGCTTGGGCCAAAGGTGGGAGCTCCCCTTTGTCTCAAAAAACCATCAGAGGGCCCAGCTGTCACTGCAGAAAGGGGAAAAGACCTGGAGAATGTTTGAGAGATTAAACCAACTTATCAGTGAGGGAAGTAGAAACAATGGTCATGCTCCCCAGGTAAGACATTCCTTTTACTCCCATGGTCCCCGTGCTCTTTGCTAAGAGGGTCAATAGGAGACCCTCACTTACTTTCTTTATGCCACTCACTTTTTTTTATACCTGTATCTTAGCTCCTCTTATTAGTTTCTTCTCTTAACTAACTAGTTGCAGTCTTTTTCTGTTGGGGGGAGGGGGGGGAGGTCTGTCTCTCAGGCTTTGTCTACACTCCAATTAGACACCCACAGCTGGCCAGTGCCAGCTGACTCAGGCTTGTGGGACTTGGGCTAAAGGGCTGTTTACTTGCGGTGTAAACTGACCCACCCAAGGTCTTTACTCCGTTCAAAATACTGAATTAAGGTAAGTTTAGTTTGTTATATTCTGTCCATTTCTCTCTCCTCCCACAGAGCATTAGGATATTCTGCTGTTTAGTTTAAGGAGGGAAGCCATACTGCTTTACAGGTTCAGTTTTGTTTGATAAGAATCTAACTCAAATTCCATCACATCCCATATACCACAAAGTCAGCCAAAAGAGGAGGAGACTCAGACTTTGAGTTTACTTTAATATGTCTCAATGCAGAAAATACCATTTTAGCAACGTGTGGCCAGACTTTTCTTGCTCAATCTTAACTTCCAAAGATTACGTGTCAGTTGGCCACTGTGTGTCACTGAGACATTACCTGGGCTACCAGCTTCCCAAGACCCACATACAATTTATTCATAGGAACAACAGCAATAGGTTCATCCATTTAATAAATGCCTGTCAGTGGTAAAGCCAGATAAAGTTAATCAGTTTCTTAGGGGAACCTATGACCCATTTCATGGTACACACAGAACATTTTGACATTTGCATTAATATTTGGCAAGTCAGTACACTTGATAAATTTCAGATGCAGTCATTCCAGACCAAACTGCTTTGCTATCCTATCTGCAAAGCCTCTCCCCAACTTTCTTTGGCAATGGGAGAGTCTGGATTGGAGGGGAGGGAGGAGTGGGGCGAAGCAGGGCAGGGGTTATTTTCTTTTCTAAACAGTGTGTCTGATTTGGTAGCTCAGAGATTGCACAAGGCCCTGCTGTAGTAAAGCCAGAGCGTACGAGGCACATTTCTCAACCTTTGCATGGAAGCTACTGTGCAAGCTAGAGGATGCCAGAATGAGCTCCTCTTGTCTCATCCAAAATCCTTTGTTCACCTCTTGCCTGGGGACTGTGCTGCATTATAGCTTATTTAATGCTTGTTTGTCTGCATCATACACAAAGCTCAGTGCTTATATGTAATGGGTGGGGGAAATGCCCTGTCTGGATTCCAAGGTCAGAAAGGACCCTTGTGAGCATCTCCTGTATAACACAGGCTACAGGACCTCCCCAGAACAACTTCTTTTGAGCTAGAGCAGATCTTTAAAAAACATCCAATCTTGATTTTAAAATTGCCAGTAATGGAGAATCCACCACGACAAACTGTTCCAATGGTGAGTTATCCTCACTTGTTAAAAATTTATGCCTTATTTCCAGCAGGGGGCAGTGCTGTCACAGCAAAGGACATCAGTTGTGCTTTCACTTCACTGGAATTAGAAGTTCCCCCTCCATTACCATCTCTCTTGGGAAGGAAGTTACTCCTGGCACACTGTGTAGGTTTGAGGGGGCACAGGGAAGTAGCTGATCACACTTAATGAGCTAAGAGGCTTCCATCTACTGTATAATTTGTAAGTTTCATTTACCAATATCCTGAGCTGTAGTCTCTTTTGTTAGATGAGAGAGTCCTGCTCTAGTATCAGATCTTCTCCCCAGGTGTGTACTTAGACCATGATCAAATGGCCTCGTCTTTGATCAGCTAAGCAGATCTCCTTTAGTCCTGACTTTAACACACATTTCCCAGACCATGAGTCATTCTTGTAGCTCTTCTCTGAACCTTCTTCCAATTTTTTCAACATTGTTTCTAAGTGTTGACCCCAGACCTCAACATAGGGTTCCAATAATGGTCTCACCATAGCCATATGCAGAAGTAATACCTTGATGTTGCCCTGTTTATATATCCCAGGATTGTGTTAACCCTGCTTGCCACAGCATCACCTGGGGAGCTCATGATGACTTGTTTGTCCACTGTGAC